TACTACTATCATTATCATTATTATTATTATTATTACTACTACTACCATCATTATTATTATTATTATTATTATTATTATTATTACTAATACTACTACTACTATCATTATTATTATCAATATTACTACTACTACTACTATCATTATCATTATTATTATCATTATCACTACTACTACTACTACTATCATTATTATTATTATTATTATTACTACTACTACTATCATCATTATTATTATTATTATTATTATTATTACTACTACTACTACTATCATTATCATTATCATTATTACTACTACTACTACTACTATCATTAACATTATTATGATCATTATTACTACTACTACTACTACTATCATTATTATTATTATTATTATTATTATTACTACTACTACTACTTCTATCATTATCATTATCATTATTATTACTACTACTACTACTACTATCATTATCATTATTATTATCATTATTACTACTACTACTATCATTATCATTATTATTATCATTATTACTACTACTACTTCTACCATCATTATCATTATTATTATAATTATCATTATTACTATTACTACTACTACTGTCATTATCATTATTATTATTATTATCATTATCACTACTACTACTACTACTACCATCATTATCATTATTATTATCATTATCACTACTACTACTACTATCATTATCATTATTATTATCATTATTACTACTACTACTATCATTATCATTATTATTATCATTATCCCTACTACTACTACTACTATCATTATTATTATTATTATTATTATCATTATTACTACTACTACCATCATTATTATTATTATTATCATTTTTACTACTACTACTACTCCCATCATTATCATTATAATTATCATTATCACTACTACTACTACTACTATCAGTATCATTATTATTATTATTATCAATATCACTACTACTACTACTACTAACATTATTATTATTATTATTATTATTATCATTATCACTTCTACTACTTCTACTATCATTATCATTATTATTATCATTATTACTTCTACTACTACTACTATCATTATCATTATTACTACTACTACTATCATTATCATTATTATCATTATTATTATTATTATTATCATTATTAGTCCAGATTCAGTTTTGAAAAATAATGAATATTTTGGGCAAATGGAGATTTTTATTAATATATTTATATTCTCTGCTAATTAATTTCTATTAATTCGTTTATAAAAAAATATTGCCTATTTTCTTTAAGGCGTCGTTTACTATTATAAGATAACTAGATTACTACAGGTACTACTTATCTTAATAGTATTGTACCACCACAATGTCTACAATAATAACAACACCAACTACTATTAACGGCGTCCAACCTCCCCTCTCTACACCTAATCTAACAACAGCAGCTAAGTTAGTTAAGGTGTGAGCGGCCTCATAAACTGACTATATGTGTTGTTGACTTAGCTTCCCAAGACGCTCTTCCTCTGAGACACAACACGGCAGCGTCTCTACTCGGTACGTCTCGTTAAATAGGGATAATCAACTACGTCTCGATAAATAGCGATAACCACCTATTTAAATATCTACTGTCTCGTTAAATAGGGATAATCACCTATTAAAATATCTTCTGTCTGGTTAAATAGCGATAATCACCTACATCTCGTTAAATAGCGATAATCACCTATTTAAATATCTACTGTCTCGTTAAATAGGGATAATCACCTACGTCTCGTTAAATAGGGATAATCACCTATTAAACTTTGAAAACAAACTGATTTTTTTTGACAAATATGGATAATTTGTATTTTCATTACTAAACCTTCATGGAAATTCCTATGTGGTAAAATGTATTATTCCATTTATAGGTTAGGTTAGGCATGAAATATCTTGTGTATTTTGTGTTAACTTCTAACTGGTCAGAATTGGCAAGTAAACCATACTAACCTAACCTAACCTAACCTACTAACGATATAATCTGGTTATCTTACACTGTAATAGTAAACGACGCATTAAAGAAAATAGGCAATATTTTATTATAGAAATTAATTAGCAGAAAATATAAATAAATTAATAAATATCCCCATTTGCCGAAAATATTCATTATTTTTCAAAACTGAATCTGTAATATGCATACGTACATACATAGATGCATACATATATTCATACATACATACATGCATACAGTATTTATAACATGAAGGTCTCGGTAACAGATGCGCCACATTGTAAACCTGTAACAGTGTTGGCAGTGACGTCATACTTAAGGGGCACCAAGTCATTAATGTTAACTCATTTGTATAGTGGAGTTAATACAGTGGTTCATCAACAAGGTGTTCAGGTGTACTCAGGTGTAGAGTACCTTCATCAACAGGTAAATCTCTTTACCTGTCATTTATGTATATTGTCAATCTTAAATGTTTCTATAAAATAGGGATGAGAAACTCGGCGGTGTAGTGATGCATTGTGGGAGTTGGGGTGAAGGGGGGGGGAGTGTTTATATTGGCCTGCGAGGAGGAGGAGAAGCACAACACTATTACTAGTACACCTGTACACAGGTGAGTATTGTGTGTCAAGCGAAGTGTATTAGTAAACTTATACCCCGCCATAACCGAGTTGTTAGACCATCACAACACGTGACCATTATAACTTGTAGTTAACATTAACAAGTTATACCTGGTAGTGGTAGTACTGTAATATAGACCATCACAACACGTGACCAATATAACTTGTAGTTAACATTAACAAGTTATACCTGGTAGTGGTAGTACTGTAATATAGACCATCACAACACATGACCACTATAGTTTAACATTAACAAGTTATACCTGGTAGTGGTAGTACTGTAATATAGACCATCACAACACGTGACCAATATAACTTGTAGTTAACATTAACAAGTTATACCTGGTAGTGGTAGTACTGTAATATAGACCATCACAACACGTGACCAATATAACTTGTAGTTAACATTAACAAGTTATACCTGGTAGTGGTAGTACTGTAATATAGACCATCACAACACGTGACCAATATAACTTGTAGTTAACATTAACAAGTTATACCTGGTAGTGGTAGTACTGTAATATAGACCATCACAACACGTGACCAATATAACTTGTTGTTAACATTAACAAGTTATACCTGGTAGTGGTAGTACTGTAATATAGACCATCACAACACATGACCAATATAACTTGTTGTTAACATTAACAAGTTATACCTGGTAGTGGTAGTACTGTAATATAGACCATCACAACACATGACCAATATAACTTGTAGTTAACATTAACAAGTTATACCTGGTAGTGGTAGTACTGTAATATAGACCATCACAACACGTGACCAATATAACTTGTTGTTAACATTAACAAGTTATACCTGGTAGTGGTAGTACTGTAATATAGACCATCACAACACGTGACCAATATAACTTGTAGTTAACATTAACAAGTTATACCTGGTAGTGGTAGTACTGTAATATAGACCATCACAACACGTGACCAATATAACTTGTTGTTAACATTAACAAGTTATACCTGGTAGTGGTAGTACTGTAATATAGACCATCACAACACATGACCAATATAACTTGTAGTTAACATTAACAAGTTATACCTGGTAGTGGTAGTACTGTAATATAGACCATCACAACACGTGACCAATATAACTTGTAGTTAACATTAACAAGTTATACCTGGTAGTGGTAGTACTGTAATATAGACCATCACAACACGTGACCAATATAACTTGTAGTTAACATTAACAAGTTATACCTGGTAGTGGTAGTACTGTAATATAGACCATCACAACACGTGACCAATATAACTTGTTGTTAACATTAACAAGTTATACCTGGTAGTGGTAGTACTGTAATATAGACCATCACAACACGTGACCAATATAACTTGTAGTTAACATTAACAAGTTATACCTGGTAGTGGTAGTACTGTAATATAGACCATCACAACACGTGACCAATATAACTTGTTGTTAACATTAACAAGTTATACCTGGTAGTGGTAGTACTGTAATATAGACCATCACAACACGTGACCAATATAACTTGTAGTTAACATTAACAAGTTATACCTGGTAGTGGTAGTACTGTAATATAGACCATCACAACACGTGACCAATATAACTTGTAGTTAACATTAACAAGTTATACCTGGTAGTGGTAGTACTGTAATATAGACCATCACAACACGTGACCAATATAACTTGTAGTTAACATTAACAAGTTATACCTGGTAGTGGTACTGTAATATAGACCATTGTATAACTTGTTGTTAACATTAACAAGTTATACCTGGTAGTGGTAGTACTGTAATATAGACCATCACAACACATGACCAATATAACTTGTAGTTAACATTAACAAGTTATACCTGGTAGTGGTAGTACTGTAATATAGACCATCACAACACGTGACCAATATAACCTGTAGTTAACATTAACAAGTTATACCTGGTAGTGGTAGTACTATAATATAGACCATCACAACACGTGACCAATATAACTTGTAGTTAACATTAACAAGTTATACCTGGTAGTGGTAGTACTGTAATATAGACCATCACAACACGTGACCAATATAACTTGTTGTTAACATTAACAAGTTATACCTGGTAGTGGTAGTACTGTAATATAGACCATCACAACACGTGACCAATATAACTTGTTGTTAACATTAACAAGTTATACCTGGTAGTGGTAGTACTGTAATATAGACCATCACAACACGTGACCAATATAACTTGTTGTTAACATTAACAAGTTATACCTGGTAGTGGTAGTACTGTAATATAGACCATCACACATGACCAATATAACTTGTAGTTAACATTAACAAGTTATACCTGGTAGTGGTAGTACTGTAATATAGACCATCACAACACGTGACCAATATAACTTGTTGTTAACATTAACAAGTTATACCTGGTAGTGGTAGTACTGTAATATAGACCATCACAACACGTGACCAATATAACTTGTAGTTAACATTAACAAGTTATACCTGGTAGTGGTAGTACTGTAATATAGACCATCACAACACGTGACCAATATAACTTGTAGTTAACATTAACAAGTTATACCTGGTAGTGGTAGTACTGTAATATAGACCATCACAACACGTGACCAATATAACTTGTAGTTAACATTAACAAGTTATACCTGGTAGTGGTAGTACTGTAATATAGACCATCACAACACGTGACCAATATAACTTGTAGTTAACATTAACAAGTTATACCTGGTAGTGGTAGTACTGTAATATAGACCATCACAACACGTGACCAATATAACTTGTTGTTAACATTAACAAGTTATACCTGGTAGTGGTAGTACTGTAATATAGACCATCACAACACGTGACCAATATAACCTGTAGTTAACATTAACAAGTTATACCTGGTAGTGGTAGTACTGTAATATAGACCATCACAACACGTGACCAATATAACTTGTAGTTATCATTAACAAGTTATACCTGGTAGTGGTAGTCTCTCACTTTCTAACGTTTGACAATAATGTTAAAAATACTTGTATGGGCTGTAGTCGGTAATTAACATACAGAGCGTGATACACGCCGCCAGTTACATGTATAAACATACACACAATATACCAACAACCTTCCCTCAAGTTAAGTTATACTGTTTATTGTACAGCACAGTACTGTATAGTACAGCACAGTGCAGGACAGTACTGAAAGGTACAGTACAGCACAGTGCAGTACAGTACTAAAAGGTACAGTACAGCACAGTGCAGGACAGTACTGAAAGGTACAGTACAGCACAGCGCGGTACAGTACTAAAAGGTACAGTACAGCACAGTGCAGGACAGTACTGAAAGGTACAGTACAGCACAGCGCGGTACAGTACTAAAAGGTACAGTACAGCACAGTGCAGGACAGTACTGAAAGGTACAGTACAGCACAGTGCGGTACAGTACTAAAAGGTACAGTACAGCACAGTGCAGGACAGTACTGAAAGGTACAGTACAGCACAGCGCGGTACAGTACTAAAAGGTACAGTACAGCACAGTGCAGGACAGTACTGAAAGGTACAGTACAGCACAGCGCGGTACAGTACTAAAAGGTACAGTACAGCACAGTGCAGGGCAGTACTGAAAGGTACAGTACAGCACAGCGCGGTACAGTACTAAAAGGTATAGTACAGCACAGTGCAGGGCAGTACTGAAAGGTACAGTACAGCACAGTGCGGTACAGTACTAAAAGGTACAGTACAACCACAATCTAGCCACTTTCCTTATATTATTTACGTGTGTCGACAACTATGACGGTGGCCGGTGGTTGGCCAGTCTTTAACCTGCAGTGACAGTGTTTGATCTTAGTCTTTGTTGTGGGTTTGTCGCTTGGTGCCACAGCTAGTGCTTACGATTTGTTGTACTTTTCCAGAGCATAAAAGGGTCACGGCTGCATAAATGTTACATAGCGCCAAAGTGTGTGCCATGCGGGGGGGGGCGGCTGATGTCTTCGGGAACGTCCTCTTTTTTTAATGTTCAGATATGGCAACCCTATCTAAGACACAATACCAAGATGACAAACTAAATGGCGTCCAAACTGTAACCTTCCCGAGGATACAAAGACGATTACAGGTGTTAGTTCTACCTGTGTTCCTCTAACATTATCACCACCACAGGTGTTACTTCCACCAACACCTGTATTCCTCTAAGATTATTCCGTCTTCCACAATAACGTCTACAGGTGTTCACTCCTTCCCACAGTTGTCAACAGAATATCGTCTGCCAGTCACCGCGTGCCATGTTTGAAGTCAACTGCGAAGTATTTAACCTGGAAGACCTCTCCACCTGTGCCAATGAACGACTCATCATATCCTACAACACCACTTCCTCCACGTATGTGTTACACGGTACAACACCACCACCACCACCACCACCACCTCTACTACTGTTACTCTTACTACCTTTACTACAAACTAAAAAAAACTTTTACTGCTATTGTTATTATACAATGCAAATAGTATTACAATACTGGTTCTCCTTAAAATTACACTACTACTACTACTACTACAACAACTACTACTTCTGTGTGTGATGTTGATAGTAACATTAGAAGTTACTGGACATAAAGACAATATGTGATCCAGTCATAACAATACTTGGATTATTTTTATCTATCATTAAACCTTTACTTTTGATGTTGGTAATATTATCAAGTAATAACACTCTTACTAACTTGTGATGCTTCAATAACTATTACTTTAATTACAACCACTAACACATTATTACTCCTGTTACCTCGAATACTTTGTCTCCTCAGTCTGAGCATAAACTGATAATAATACCTCACTATAACCTCCTGCCGGTCACTATAACCAGCCAATGTTAATTACTATATGATGGCGTTATCCTCAACAGATTCTGCGGGAATATTACATCTACCTGGGTCTTCCCCACCAACGAGATGAACCTCGAATTCATAACCAATGGCCAGCATAACTCCCCTGGGTACAAATGTTCCATCACGTGCCTAAGAGAACAAACCAATGACCAACCACAACAAGTAATGTGAGAAGCAGCTGCCTCTCTCTTACCTGCACCACGACTACCAGGACCACTATGAGGAATTCCTTGGGATTTGTTCATCTGAAGGAGTGACATGCTAGTGTTCCAGGCTTCACTAACCCCTGGACCCGGAAACCTGACCAAACCTTCCTATGTCAGCCTGGCCTAATGTAACCTGTCCCTTAATGACCTAACCCACCTATCCCCAGCAAACCCTAAATTTATCACCTCTAACATGACCCAATGTAACCTAACCAATACAGCACTTTATAGAGACATGTCATCACTACTTGTGTAAGACTTTATCAAGACATTATATATTATCTATTAATCATTTAGAGAATCTTGGCAGAATATAATAAAATATTGCACCTCAAACACTGTTTATGTATATAACCTAAACCACTGAAGAAAGCCAACCAATAATGAATACAGTACAATCCATTCCAGTCCAGTCCATTCCAGTCAGGTCCAGTACAGTACAGTACAGTACAGTACAGTACAGTACAGTACAGTGCAGCGCAGTACAGTACGTCCCCAACTGTGCTGTACAAAATATGGTCACTAGAGGTACAACACCCTAAAGACAGAAATAAACACTTACATCAGTTAAGTAAGTACTGTACTGTACTGTACTGTACTGTACTGTACCATACTGTACTGGACTGTACTGTACTGTACTGTACTGTACTGTACTGTACTGTACTGACTGTACTGTACTGTACTGGACTGTACTGTACTGTACTGTACTGTACTGTACTGTACCATACTGTACTGTACCGTACTGTACTGGACTGTACTGTACTGTACTGTACTGGACTGTACCATACTGTACTGGACTGTACCGTACTGTACTGTACTGTACTGTACTGTACTGTACTGTACTGTACTGTACTGTACTGTACTGACTGTACTGTACCACTACTGTACTGTACTGTACTGTACTGTACTGTACTACTGTACTGTACTGTACTGTACTGTACTACTGTACTGTACTGTACCTGTACTGTACTGTACTGTACTGTACTACTGTACTGGACTGTACTGTACTGTACTGTACTGTACTGTACTGTACTGTACTGGACTGTACTGTACTGTACTGTACTGTACTGGACTGTACCATACTGTACTGGACTGTACTGTACTGTACTGGACTGTACTGTACTGTACTGTACTGTACCGTACTGTACTGTACTGTACTGTACCGTACTGTACTGTACTGTACTGTACTGTACTGTACTGTACCATACTGTACTGTACTGTACCATACTGTACTGGACTGTACTGTACTGTACTGGACTGTACTGTACTGTACTGTACCGTACTGTACTGTACTGTACTGTACCATACTGTACTGTACTGTACCATACTGTACTGGACTGTACTGTACTGTACTGGACTGTACTGTACTGTACTGTACTGTACCGTACTGTACTGTACTGTACTGTACCGTACTGTACTGTACTGGACTGTACTGTACTGTACTGTACTGTACTGTACTGGACTGTACTGTACTGTACTGTACTGTACTGTACCGTACTGTACTGTACTGTACTGTACCGTACTGTACTGTACTGTACTGTACTGTACTGTACCATACTGTACTGTACTGTACTGTACTGACTGACTGTACTGTACTGTACCATACTGTACTGTAACTGGACTGGACTGGTACTCGTACTGTACTGGTAATTGTACTGTACTGTACCATACCGTACTGGAATTGACTGGACTGTACTGTACTGCATTGTACTGTACTGTACTGTACTGTACTGGTACTGTACCGTACTGTACCTGGACTGTTCATACTGTACTGACTGGACTGTACCGTACTGTACTGTACTGTACTGTACTGTACCATACTGTACCGTACTGTACTGTACTGTACTGGACTGTACCATACTGTACTGGACTGGACTGTACCGTACTGTACTGTACTGTACTGTACTGTACTGTACTGTACCATACTGTACTGGACTGGACTGGACTGTACTGTACTGGACTGTACTGTACTGTACTGTACTGTACTGGACTGTACCGTACTGTACTGGACTGTACTGGACTGTACCGTACTGTACTGGACTGGACTGGACTGTACTGTACTGGACTGTACCATACTGTACTGGACTGGACTGTACTGTACTGTACTGGACTGTACCATACTGTACTGGACTGGACTGGACTGTACTGTACTGGACTGTACTGTACTGTACTATACTGTACTGGACTGGACTGTACTGTACTGGACTGGACTGGACTGTACTGTACTGTACTGTACTGTACTGTACTGTACTGTACTGTACTGTACTGTACTGTACTGTACTGGACTGTACCGTACTGTACTGGACTGTACTGTACTGTACTGTACTGTACTGTACTGTACTGTACTGTACTGTACTGTACTGTACTGGACTGTACCGTACTGTACTGGACTGGACTGGACTGTACTGTACTGTACTGTACTGTACTGTACTGGACTGTAATGGACTGGACTGTACTGTACAGTACTGTACTGTACCGCACAATAATGTACTGTACTGTACAGTACTGAACTATACTGTACTGTACAGTACTGTACTGTGCTGTACTGTACTGTACTGTACCGTACTGTACTGTACAAGACTGTACTGTACTGTAAAATACTGTACTGTACTGTACTGTACTGTACCGGACTGTACTGTACTGTAAAGTACTGTACTGTACTGTACTGTACTGTACAGTACTGTACTATACTATACTGTACTGTACCGTACTGTAAAGTACTGTACTGTACTGTACAGTACTGTACTGTACAGTACATTACTGTACCGTACAGTACTGTACTGTACCGTACAGTACTGTACTGTACTGTACATCGTACTGTGCTGTACTGTACCGTAGTGTACTGTACAGGACTGTACTGTACTGTAAAGTACTGTACTGTACTGTACTGTACTCTACTGCACAGGACTTTACTGTACTGTAAAGTACTGTACTGTACTGTACTGTACTGTACAGTACTGTACTGTAAAGTACTGTACTGTACTGTACTATACTGTACTGTACTGTACTGTACTGTACTGTACTGTACGGCACAGTACTGTACTATACTGTACTGTACCGTACTGTACTGTACTGTACTGTACTGTACAGGACTGTACTATACTGTACTGTACTCTACTGTACAGTACTTTACAGTACAGTACTGTACAGTACAGTACAGTACAGTACAGTACAGTACGGTACAGTACAGTATAGTACAGTACTGTGCCGTACATAGACATAATAATATCATATTTAAACGTTAAGGAGGTTAATGATGCCGCTGCCGACCTCACCTGTATGAGCGTGTGACTTACCAACACTTGTCAACAACATATATTTGTTTTATAATATTCTCTTCCTTTTGTGAGATTATTAAAGACCACACAACACAAGAGTGCGTTCCCTAGTTAACCAAAGGAACACAAGTAATGGTTGAGTGCGTGTTGCTGCAGAACTCACCCGAGCACTCCCTACACCCTCACACTATCACTCCCTACACCCTACCACTCCCTACACCCTCACACTACCACTCCCTACACCCTCACCCTAAAACTCCCTACACCCTCACCCTACCACTCCCTACACCCTCACATTACCATTCCCTACACCCTCACCCTACCACTCCCTTCACCCCCCCACTCCCCCACCCCCCCTACACCCCACACCCTGCCCCACCCCTACCACCCCACCCCACACCCCTACCCTCCCCTACACTACACCTACCACCACCCCTACACACCCCACCCCCCACTCCCTACACCCTCACCCCCCCACCACTCCTACCCCACCACCCCTTCACCTACACCACCCCACCACTACACATCCTCACCCCACCACTCCCTACACCCCTCACCCCTACCACCACCCTACATCCTCACCCCACCACCTCTCTGCACCTCACCCCTACCACCCTCCCCCTACCATCCTCACCCTACCCCTACTCTACTCCACTCACACACCCCACCCTACACCCCCCCTCACCACCCTCCCTACACCCTCACCCCTACCCCACCACACCTCCACCCTACACATCTACACCTCTCTCTACCCTACCACACCCCCACCTACTCCCCACACACCCCACACCCCCACCATTCCTACATCCTCACCCCACCCCTTACACCTCACCCCTACCACCCCACACACACCCTCCACCCCACCACCCCCCTACACCCACCCCACCAACCACTCCTGCCCCACTACTCCCTCACCCCTCACCCCTACACACCTCACCCTACCACCTCAACCACTACCCACTCCCTACACACCCTACCCACCCTACCACTTACACCTACCCTACTCCTACACCTCACACTACTCCACACCTCACCCCTACCACTCCCCTACACCCTCACCTCACCTTCCCTACATCCTCACCCTACCACTTTACACCTCACCCCTACACCCCTACACCCCTACACCCTCACCTACCACACCTACACCCTCACCCCCTACCACTCCTTACACCTCACCCCCTACCACTCACCTACACCCTCACCCTCACCCCTCACACTACCACCCCTCCACCCTCCACACCCTCCACACCCTACCACTCCCTTTATACCCCTCACCCCTACCACCCCTACAACCTCACCCCACCACTCCTTACACCCCTCACCCTACCACCCCTCCACACCACCCTCCTCCCCCTCACCCACCCTCCCCAATCTCTACACCCCCTACCCCCCACCCCCTCCCCTACACCTACCCCCTACCACTCCCTACACCCTCATCCTACCACTCCCTACACCCTCACCCTACCACTCCCTACACCCTAAACCCTACCACTCCCTACACCCTAAACCCTACCACTCCCTACATCCTCACCCTGCCACTCCCTACATCCTCACCCTACCGCTTGTAGTATACAGACGTGCATCTATCTACGCTTAATCTGTACGTTCAGAACGTAGTTTCATGTGATACTCATTGGATACAGTTTGTGTATTTGTAGTGTCTACGACCTGCGTAGGTACGTCTTGGGGGTTTTGGTTTTCATTTTGTGCAGACGTAGAGTCTACTGTACAATGGTGGGAAGCAAGTCAGAGCTACCCTTTTTTAATCTATCCACGTGTACTACGTCGGTAATTTGAGTATCTGGCAATTATCGGGAAGGGTCTTGAAAATGTTGGCGAAAGTTTAGAGATTCTTTCAGGTTCTCTTATCATGACAGCGTCGCCTATTTGAAGCTTGATAGGCTTAGCATGTTTATGTTGTGTGTAAATCATTTCAGCGCGCGATGCTGCTAATTCTTTACGTACTTTTCCATTGATGTCAGTGAAGGTATTGATTTGCTTCTTTCCATAATCATCCATGTTATATACAGGTTGTTTAGGTCCTGAAAGTACGTCATA